CACATAGTATTTTCCAAATTACATCCTCATCTGATGGGATGTTCTTGTTTTTTTTTCAATGTTGTGCAAATACAATCCTTGCAGCTGTCAATACATGCAAAATTAAATATACAGCCCCTTTGTCATATCCTTCTGGTGTTATACCCAACAAAAAATATTTCTGGTTTCAAGTCTATGTGTTGCTTAATCATCTTTTCCAACCGTGTATGTATTTTCCTCCAGAATTTTCTTGCTCTCATACACGTCCACCACATACGACAATGAGTACCTGGAGTTTGATTATACTTCCAATATTTAGTGGACCTGTTGCTAAACATTTTGGCCCACCTTGCAAAAGACTTTGGGCCAATTCCAGAGAGAGTGAGCATTCCACTCCAGCCTTAGGCACACAGCTGTCATAAAGTCACCCTTAGGCCTTCTTTTCACCAGACCAGACAACCTCTTTTGTGCTTCGTGCTGCAAGGAAGGAACAACCCTCAAGGACTTCAGGGATAAACCTGATGGTTTGGTGTCTCCAGGTAAGCCCCAACTCGCCACCGGGCCTCCTCACTAAAGCTGACACAAAACCCCCTTCCTTCTTTTGTGCAAAGTCACTCAGGAATTGTAAAATAAAAAATAAAAAAATTTGCTGACTGGGAAACTGTTCGGTCAATTCTCTTGCTCATTTAGCAGCCGAGGAGGAGGACAACTTGTTCCGTCTGCCAGTCACAACCAATTTGAAGTCAGTGGGGTGATGGATCTATTTTGGGGGGGAAACGGGTAGAAACTGCAAGGCTCCCAAGGGGGGGGGAAGAGAGAGAGGGAGAGAGGGAGAGAAAGAGAGGGGGGGGATTCTTGCGTGGGATTACACAGAATTACATATAGATTTACAACATAAAGAGACAGATTTAACCCTAGTTTCCATTGGGAAAATGGGAGCATCTTAGAGCAGGCCGAGTTCCCAAAAATGCCAGGGAATTTCTAGAAGCCTGGCCCTCTGACAAAGCAGCCATCGACGGACACATAGATAGGAACAACATCTACAGATTGTGCAAAAGAGAGAATCAACCAGCCCAAAAAGGAAGACAAAGACTCCAAGGTTAACTTGAGACCAACAAGCCAGTAAGCCATACCCCACTCAGGAAATGGCCAAAGAATCTCTAAGATTGCTCTCCACCCACCCAGACAGGGAAAGACACCAGAATATAATCTGACAAACCACACTCCTTACTAGCACTGATGATGCTATGTAGCTTGGTAATGAAATGTCTGCAAGAAAGCTCAGAGAGCCGCAAAGACGTCACAATCCTCCTTCTCCTTTTCCTCCTCCTCCTCCTCTTCACAAACCCCACTCCCTCCTAGCACTGATGATGTTATCTAGCAGGGTCAGGAAACGCCTGCAAGAAAACAAGCGAACTCACAGAGCATCAAGGGCCCCCTCATAAACCGAATGTCAAGCCTGAAGGGCACCTGCTCAGCTCCACCCGCCCCGACTCCACCCCGGGAAGAGAGTCAGAAAAGAAGATTTCATTACTTGGAAACCTGACACAGAATTTTAAAAAAAATAAAAAAATAAAATCCAACCTTTAGAGTCTCCAAATCTGTTATTATGAGTCTACCAAGCCTTTCAGAGAAATCCAAATAATAGGATATGTTGCTTCGGGGAAAATATAAATCTCAGGCACATTGGCAGGTTTAAAATCCACGCGTTGCCCACAATGCTAATTTATGGCTTAAATTATAAGTTGGGAGAGATCCTTGCTTCTCCGAGGCTGGCATTTAGAAGCGGCCTCTTCTGAATTCAAAGAGAATCCGCGTCCTTTTACATCTTAAAATTCGGGGGGCGGGGGGGGGGGGGGAAAAAGAAAATGGAAAGAAATTTTAGTTGGCTTAAAGTCTTTTTTTTTTTTTAAATGGTGGGGTTGTAAGTCACATACTTGAACCGGGAGGATGCTGCAATTGTGGTGGGGTCCAAGGACCAGTTATTAAGTCACTTTTTTTTCCCAGCATCGTGTCCGTGAATGGTCACTTAAGCCAGTGGTTGCCAACCGGTGGACTGGGGACCACTGGTGGTCTGCGAGAAAATTTTGGTGGTCCGCAGAGAAATGCCCCCCCCCACCCCAAAGCAATTAATCCAGGCTGCGCGGGAACACAAGGCTGCGTCACCCACATAACCTGCGGGAACACAAGGCTTGCGTCGCTTGCATTGCAAACAACAAGAAGTAGTAAGGGGAGTGGGGAAAGGGCGGAGTGGAGGAACTTGCCCCACACACCTGGCCTGGCCACCGGGCTGCTTCTTTCCGCTTCTTTCTTCTTCTGCTTCTGGCTGCACGCAAGGAAAGCAGCCAAAGTCTTTCTTTCTCTCCCCTCAAACTCCGCCAGAAATGAGTCTTTGGGATCCTGCAAGGCTTCCTGCTCCAAGAGGCTGCGCCAGCAAAGACTCACGTCTGGCGGAGTTTGGGGGAGAGAAAGAAAGACTTCTGCGGCTTCTGCTGCTTTCCTTGCATGAAGCCAAAAGTCTCTCTCTTTCTCTCCCCCTGAGAACGGAGCTGGAGACAATATCCTGCGATCCCAAATAAAGAATGATCGATCGGTAGGGAAACGGGGTGGGGAATTTTCCTGCAGACTTTTTGGGGGATTTTCCCAGGGTCTCTGGTCCCCAGGATTTAAAATGATGAGTTTGGTGGTCCCTGAGGTCCAAAAGGTTGGCGACCCCTGACTTAAGGACTACCTGAACTGAACACTGGAAGGCAGAAGTAAATTTCAGAGGGCCAGCGAGCTGCCCCCAGGTCTCTTATGAAGGAGATCTTGCCCAACGTTGTTGCCTGAACCTTTTTTCCCCTGCAAATCCCTACAACATTGGAAAGGTGTGGAGATCCCCACAGAAGATAGTAAAACAACAACAACCAGAATGTACAGGAATGGATAGATCAACACTTGGAATTAAAGAGAAAGAAGATCCGGAAGATTTTTGAAACATGGGATCCGTTTTATCTATGGTTAAATAACAGAAACAGAAGTTAGAATGTTTAAAATTATAAGCCAAGGATTACTTTTACCATGAGGGTTTATTATATGTTTTATTGTCAATATGATTTAGTATTAAGTATTAATATTATGTGCAGAAAACATGGTTCTTATACGATCGCTACTGATGAACCTTATGATGATAGTGATGACTATTGCTCAAACTAACTGTAACCAGACAAGAGACGGTTTATAGAGAGATTGCTCTTCCTTTGTATAGTAAAAACAAAAAAATATATATTGGGGGGAGAAAAAAGGATGTTTTTTTCCTGCCAATCCCAATTCCTCGCCTATCACAAACTCAGCAAACAGAAACCAGGATTTTTTCTTGGGGATTGCAATTCCCTTGTCTGTCCCTTTGAGGTTTTTCTTCCTCCCTGGGGGGGGGGCATGCAAAATATCAAAACGCCGAGGACTCCTGGGGCAAATGATTAAATCTTTAGAGAATCACCCCCTTTCCCGGTGGCCCTTCGAGGCTCCCCCTCCCCACAATCTGATCTCAGCCGTGTGTTTAAAAATACAATCGTTAACAGTCTGGAGGCGGCGAAAATGCCTTGCCTCAGCTCATCAAAAATACAAGAAGCCGTCCGCCAAGGATTTGAAAATTAAAAATTAAGTACAGAGAGCACTTCGCAAGGCAGCGATCATGGACTACAAAGCCAAACGAATGTGTGTGTGTGTGTGTGTGTGTGTGTGTGGAAGAGGCTGCTCAATTATTCCAGATGCTCTTATTTAAAACAGCTGTGGAAGCTACCGCCAAGCGACGCAACTCCAAAAGTGCTGCCTCATGTTGCTGCATTGTGAACCCAGCCCAAAGCCGACCAGGAGGGTAACGTTTAAATCTCAGGGTTTTCCGGAGAACGGCGGAGAGGGAGGGACGCTTTGCCAAGGAAGTTCTGAAGCCTTCAGCCGGATCCCAAAGTCAGGCTGATTTCAAGTAAAGGAAACCACGGTTAAGTCTCCCGGCCAAGGTTAGGTTTCAAAGGGACTCGCCGTTTCGGCTAAGCCGTCTTTCGACTTTGGTTCCATGGCCACAAGAAGGCGGTTTACAACGGTCCTTGGTGCTGAGCTTGGTAGCTGGGACTTTTCATGACCCATCTAGGTAACGTCATCAATGCTACTGAGGGTGGCTTGTTCCCTGTTTATATGCAGTAACTCTGAGCTTGGCCGTTCCGCTGTCCCAACCCTTCTCCCTTTCACCACTGAGAAGGAAGGGAGGAAGGATTAAAATCCCCCTGGCAATTCCCAGTTAATCCCATCCTACACCCATCCAGCAAATCGTCTCATCACGACCAGCAACTGCAGAAAGGAAAGGTGTGAGCGGCGCATGAGAGATGTGGGGCGGGTCAGGGAGGGGTTGGGAGGGTATGGATCGGGGAGGGGGTGTAGCTTTGCAGGTTGGGGTACAGCAGAGACTGGGGAGGGTGGGAGGGGGTGCGTGAGAGTTTGGGGAGGGTGTACAGGGGTCTGTGGCCCGGGTTGGGTTGTATACGTGGAGGGGCGTGAGTGAGCTGCATCAGCATATCCATCAAGGGTCTGGAGGAGGGTCCACATGCGGGGCAGACTTATTCCCAGCAACTTGCAACATTCCCCACGGCTTCCCCAATGACAGTCACTGGGGAAGCCGGCAGGAAACGGGGCACAAACGGTGTTCACATGATCATAGGGCACATTCCCAAGCGCCCAGATGACGATGCCATGAGCAGAGAGGAGCTGGGACGATCAGAACGCCGAGGACTGGTGATAACCCCGCCATTTTCAGCCCCGGTGTAACTCTGAACTCCGAGAGAACGTTTGTAAGTCAGGACGCCTGTACTGTACATACACACAGCCAACAGGTCATTAAAGAAAAGTAGAACAGGCAGACATGGTTCTCAAAGGACATTTCCTTTCTCTCCCCTGTAGTAACGCTGATGGCAAAAGATCTTTCCGTTCGCTGGATGTCAGTGACAATTAACATTAACACCTTATGGATAAAGCCATGGATGATTTACCTTATTTGACCATTTATAGGCCTGGAGCAACTGACTATAGAGGGGCGTTTTGTCTTGGACGGGGTCGAGACTCAGGAGGCCGCTGTTATGGAGGGGATGGTTTTCGGATGGTTTGCCCACCAGGTTACTCAAGCGTTCCAACTCCCTAAAATCAAACCACGAGAAAAAGAAGCATTACAAAGCATACTTGACACCCCGTTTCCATGAATTCACCTGGGGGTGTAACTCGACAGCAAATCTTCGGTCTGCCCTTTCATACTCTCAAGGTGAAAAACCTGGGGCTAAAAATAAAATAGAAAGACCAAACTACAGGTGTTCCTTGACTTACTGCTACAACGGGGAACAGAATTTCCATGGCTACCATAATTGCAGGTCAATCGTTCAATGGGTTTTCTCTGTTTCCGCTTTCCTTTCTTTCCTTATCCTAATGTTTCATTTTATGGTTATTTCATTTTATGGTTATTTCTTCCGGTCATTATGGTTACTTCTGGAGTGTTCTGCTTGGCTCCTTTCAAACCAAGGTGTTTCTACTTGGTCTTTGTTTTGGAGTCTTTCTGAATCACCACACGTACAGATACAACCGGGAACCACAAGACAGCCAGTCCTCGACTTACAACTGTTCCTTTAGTGACCATTCGAAGTTACAATGGCACTTTAAAAAAAAAGGGGGGGGTGTTTTTCACCCTTGCGAACCATTGCAGCATCCTTGGGGTGGCACAATCAAAATATGGACGCTTGACAGCTGCCCTGTGTGTAGTCCTTGACGGACAACAGCTCGTTTAGTGACCGTTTTGAGGTCATGACGCCCCCCCCCATGTAACCTATGGCTGATTTTCAGAGTTACGACCTTTGCAGCTTCCCGGTGGTCAAGGGGATCCAAATTCAGGCATTTGGCAACAAGTTCACATTTACGACGGCCACAGCACTCTCCCTTTTCCGACCTCCTGACAAGCCATGTCAAAGGGGAAGCCAGATAGCCGTAAAATGAGGCCCAAAGCTCACTTCGCCAACTGTCTTTGCTGGGTTTCCATCGTGGCCGTAAGTTCGAGGACTGGATGGGAAGGCGCTACCAAGGGCAGAACCAGCCTGCTCTCCTCCCACCCCGAAATAAAGACCCTCAGGCCCTGCCCTGCTGTGCAGCATGGAAGCCCCAGCTCTATGGACAGGGATGATGGGCCAGCGAGTCCCACCCCAACCTGGCAAGCAAGCAAGCAGGTGAGGCAGGCCAAGCCCCGCCCCCTTCCCGGATTATCCTACTTGGCCCCGCCCCTCGGCGCCAAAGGAAAGGAGAAGGGGCGTGGCCTCCCCCCGCCCGCCCCCGCCCTCGCTGCTTTGCCCCGCCCTCACCCCAAGTCCCGGCTGACGGAGTGGAGGCTGTCCTGGAAGCTGGCGAGGAAGCCCTTCTCGCGGCCCTCCACGGCCTCCTTGTGCCGCCGGCCGTCCTTGAGGCAGTCGAAGACCCGCGTCACGCTGGAGCGGAGCGCCTGGATGGCGGCTATGGCCTGCGCGAAGGCCTCCAGGTTCACGCCGGCGCTCAGCACCGCGTCCGCCATCTTGCGGGGAAAAAACCGGCTCCTTCCCCTTCCCCGCCTCCTCAGGCCGCGGGGAGCGCCGGGAAATGGAGTCCGCCTCTTGCAGGAAAGGCCGCCCGTCGCAAAGCAGCCTGGGAGCAAAAGCTCGGGGACCGGAGTTTGGGGCTCTCTGAGATAGACGATCTCTCCCAACCGCGGAGCCCGCCGGGAAATGTAGTGCGCGGGTGCTGAAAGGGACAGCTCCTTCTCGCCTTTGGGAAACATTGAAGTTCTCCGGCTGAATTTTTTAAAAAATGTTTTATTTTCATTTATGGCGGGATTGATTCCTTTGATCTAGCTGATTTCAAGTGGCCTTCACCGTTGCTTCCTCCTCAATCAAGGCCAATACTTAACAGACAGACAATAAGGCTCCTTTGGAGGAAGCTGCATTTAAATTAATGTCTTTAATTATTTGCTGTTAATTTTTTCTCTTTCCCTCTCCTCTATCTCTTCTTACCCTCTTTTCTTTGTCTCTCACTCCTTCCTTCCCCTTCTTTTTCTCCTTTCCTTTCCATCTTTTTCTTTTCCACTCTCATCTTCCCTTCTTTTTCTTTTTTCTTTTTTCTTCTTTCTGTCCTTTTCCTTTTTCCTTTCTTTCCTCTTTCTTCCTTCCTCCTTTCTTTTTCTTTCTCTCTTTCATTCCTTCATACCTTCTTTCTTTCTTCTTTCTCTCCTTTTTCTTTTTTCTTCTTACTGGCTTTCCTTCTTCACTTCTCTCCTTCCTTCCTTCCTTCTTTCTTCCTTCTTCCCGCCCCCTCTCTCTTTTCTTCCCTACAATTCTTATGGCTTTGGCACAATGCTTTCTCAATAAATTTCCTGTTTTATTAACTCTGCCTGAATTTGCCACTTTACTTGCATTTCTCTGGTTTGCTTTCTTGCTTTGACCTTTATTTTATCTTATCATAGCATTGATTGTTAGTCAACGCAGAACTCCCAATTCACCTCACAACCGGGTTACTAACTTATCAACCTGCAGGGATTCACTGGACAACGGTGGGAAGAACAGTTGTAAAGTGGGGCGAAACTCCCTTAACAAACGTCTCACCAAACCACTGAAACGTTGGGCTCCGTTGTGGTCAAGGACCGCCTGTATTCGTTCCCTCCAAGGTCAGCTAAGGTTGCAGCTGCCTATCCTTCCAAAAGGGGAGATTATACGCAAAGCCCTGCTTTAAGGCTTTAACTGGCTTAGCCCTCTGTTGTCCGCCGTTCTCTTTCCCAGCACCCACAGCCTTTCGAGGCTTAAGAAAACTGGGCTAAACCAAATGATTTGAAAGCAGTCATGGCTGGAAAGAAGTCTGGTTGATACAAGCCAAGAGGTTTGAGGTTTTGGGGGGATAGGAATAGGAACAGAATAGAATAGAAAGAAAATAGAGTAGAGTAGAGTAGAGTAGAGTAGAGTAGAGTAGAGTAGAGTAGA